CATTTTAGTTTTATATTTCAGCAGGCCTTCCCTAAGCTCCAATTGTGCAGAGCAAATTGCAGTCATATATCATTTTTAAAACCATTTCTGTCAGATTTTTGTCACGCCATTTAGCAAAATAAGACTCCTGTGCTTAGTGGTTAAAGGCACCAAAATTACACACATACCTGCACCTATTGAATTATTGGTAATGCAAATTTGGTTATGCTATTACTCTGTTTGGGGTTACAGGACTGTCATTCAAAACACCACTCTATTTTTGTTCAATTTCTTCATCTCTGAATAGTAGTGATAATGTTTCAAAATAAACAGATTTGAGAAATCACTGACCTGCAAAATATTTTGCGGCAGACGTTCAAGGTTTTCCTGCACGTTGACGATGTACGGCGACAGCTCAAACACAGGTGAGCAGTCATTGTCGTCCAACAACACAATGTTGACTGTTGCACGGTCCACCCTGGGGTTGTTGCCACGGTCTGAGGCTTGAACTACCAGTGAGTAGGAGGAGTGTGCTTCCCTGTCCAGCTGCTTGGCGACTGAAATCACCCCAGTGACTGAGTCAATCCTGAAATCAGAATTTATGTTTCCTTCTGAAATGGAAAATCGAATTTGTCCACTAGTGCCCTCGTCTGCATCGCTGGCAAACACCTGGATGATATCGGTTCCTGTCAAGGTGCTCTCCTCAATCTCAATGTCATATATATTTTGTGAGAAACTTGGTGTGTTATCATTGACATCCAGTACCATCATGGTCACATCCATGGTTGAAGACAGAGGCGGTTCTCCCTTATCTGTTGCCACAACTGTTATAGTGTAGTTGGAAAACTCCTCACGGTCAAGTTCCCCAACCAGCCTGACATCTCCATCAACATTACCGATGCTGAACTTGTTTCCGTGAGGTCCTCTGAGAGAGTACTCAACGTAGCTGTTGGGTCCACTGTCTGCATCTGTTGCCTGTGCGGTGAATACTACAGTGTCCACAGGCGTGTTCTCTTGGATGTAGGTCATCTTCTGGGAGGTAAAGGTCGGTGGGCAGTCGTTGACATCCAGCAAAATAATCGACACCTGAGCAGTGCTGGTGAAGCGGGTCATAGGGGGCGGAGCCAGGTCGTTCACTGTGATCACCAGATTATAAAAGGATTGTGTTTCTCGATCCAGAAGCTTCTTTGTTTGAAGGACTCCTTCCTTGTTGATGACAAAGTGACCCTGGGGATCTCCAGAGGCGATATTGTAGAGTAGTTGAGCATTAGGTCCTGAAAAACACATCGAGAGTCACTGAGCTGATACTTACAGGATGTTACTTCAGAGTTAAATTTAATTTGACATTGAAGCATTTTAATTATAGATGACCCTGCAAAGAAAAACATTTTTATCAGGACAGCAAAGGTTAAAAGTTGGTATTTTTCACAGTAAACCATTGTTGTAAATACAATTGTTAAAATGTGCTAAATGTGTCTGATCGAAGCACTTATATGTGTTATCAACATCTATTTCCACTAATTGTACATTTGCAGCAGCTACAGCTGTGGCCTCTCCGCTTGTGGAGCAGACAATCCATTCATGCAGCATGACAGATTACTACCAAGAGAGAAAACACTGCTACAAACCACTTCCTAAACTGATAAAGGTATTGTGCCAGTGAGGAAGTTCCCTTACAACTGACAAATTTGTTTGAATTCCAATTTAAATTTAACAGTTAACTATCTAACCTAGAAATCTGATCTAATCTGCATCCCTCCAGTAGAAGCGGGGGATAGTTAAAACTAGCTTTAATGGAGCGTCTGTAATTCAACTTAGAGAGGTAATCAAGTGGAAGCAGCAGTCCCTCCCCCCTTTTTAGTGTGTATTTACAGTACACAAGTAATCCTTTATCAAAAGCCTGAGAGCGCTACTCGTGTTTAGGCTACTCCATCTTGAGACTGAGTCCGGGTGTCGAAGGTCGCGGCTTAGGAAGTGCTAACAATGGGGTTACTTTATTTTGACGGCAAAAGTCCGAGTGCATATATCAGAGAGGATAACATGGTCTTATTGTGGGGACGATGGGGGAAGAAGCCAGACTCCGGTTGAGAACAAACCAGCAATATTTCCCAGGAATGTAGGCCAATATGACCACATTAGGCCGGGCTGGAGCAGTAATTACAGCAGAGGAGAGCAGCGGTGACTGTTCAGATACCACACGGTGTTTCACAAACACAGAGCCCACTACCCAGCTTGCCGAAATAACTCAAGCCACTTAATCATACGCTGAAGATGCTCTATTTCATCAAGTCAGTCATGCGTGGTGCAACATAAAAAGTGAAAAAAATAAAATGTAGGTTTGAGAGCTGCCGTGTAACCGACTCTCATAACAAAATGACAGGCCTACATTACATTAATCTGCCACGGGCAGCTCACAATTGATTTATGCACGTTGGGAGTATATCATTGCTTGAACATTCTCACAGAAAGATTTTCTCTAAATATATACTAACATCTCTGGGATACTTGGCCGGGACTTAACTGGGATTAAACTACAATTTAACATATGATATATTTTCTTTGGTTTAATGCAGCCTGCCTCGATGCTTCTAAGTATAGTATTTGGTTGAAAATATGTCTACAGACTCTTTCAATCTGTCTAGTGTCTAGTCCGTGTACATGATATTTAGAGGAGCATTTCGGTATTTCAACTGTGAAGCAAAATGTTTTAGCATTTTCATTAGCATGTTCATGTGATTGAAATGTGTACATTTGAACCTACTGCTTTACATTCATCCTTTTGGAATACATGTACTTTTGTTTTAATTTAGACATACAATAAAGTATCATTTTTTGTGATATTTAAGTAAATGAATGTAATTGGACTTTTAGAGCAGGTATACAGCAGTACTCCCTACTCTCATGCTGTGATGGGATCATTGTATTTTAGCAAACATTTTCTTGGATTACTGTTGGTCTTCTACTTAAAATCATTACATAAATGTCCCTTAGCACCTAACCTAAAAATATCCACATAATAATCCACTGTTAATGTTTCAGTTCAAAATGTTATCCTTAGCCTAAATATCCATCACTGAACTCATTCACAATGACCTTTTACATACCATCATCAGCATCAGTGGCTCCAACAGTGATGATACTGGATCCCTGCGGCAGACTCTCAGAGACAGACGCGCTGTAAACACTGGTGTTAAAAATGGGCGGGTTGTCGTTCACGTCCAGAACATTAAAGTAGACTCTGACAGTGCTAGCCTGCCCGCCTCCGTCCTGGGCCTTCGCTGTCAGAATGTAATACTGCTGGGTCTCAAAGTCAAGGGAACGAGTCACATTGAAAACTCCCGTCACCGGGTTCAGGAGGAAGGTCTCATCTTCATCGTCTTCCTCAAGCGAATAAGTGACTTCTCCATTGACCCCCGAGTCAGAATCACTGGCCAGGATGGCCGCCACAATGGAGCCTGTAAAGTAAGATGAGTGGAAACAGAGAAGGTAAAACAGTTTGATCCGAGCACTCTGTTGAACAAAGTGACTCACATATCTGCAGGAGGGTATTATGGCTCTTTATTAAGACCAGAGACTCTGTGATTGTGCTGCCAGTTTCTTGAAATAACATAAAATAGACTTTACTGCATTGGAAGCAGAATGATTTTAAAATTAAGATGGATGATATGAGTAAAAACGTACAAATTTGTATTGAATATTCTCCCTGGCTGAGAAAAAGAACTACTAGAGGCCAATGTTAGACATATGTCAGTGTTAGTGTGAATTGCACAGTCTTATTTCACAGGATTGATTTCTGTATATTCCAAACTGAAGTGATTCTGACTAATGCTCCTAAAACTTTTGGTATGAAGAGGGTTTTTTTCAGAAACTCAGTTATCACTGGGAAAAATAAAATGTAACCATACCTGGTGCCATGTCCTCAGGAATATCAAAAGAATAGGTAGCACGGGAAAATTTGGGTGTGTGGTCATTGATGTCCTCGACTGTGATGTTGAGCCTCATATCAGACGACTGCTTTCCATCATCTGCACGCACAAGGAGTGAGTATTTGGAGCGGCGTTCCCGATCCAGTTTTTTGGTGGCGATCAGATCACCAGATTCGGGGTCGATCCGGAAACTGTCATCTGCCCCACTAATGATGGTGTAGGTCACCAGAGCATTTGGACCCTGTGGAAAATACAAGGATGGGTCAGAGGATTTGCTAATGGGAAATCACACTACGCTATGTTCTCCTGTTGCATGATCGTTCATGGTGACTGCTTCATACTGGATAAAAATTATATCAACATATGACAACCACCTTGCAATACATAAATCTGATCAATTAAATAAACCACTGCTCAAATTAATTTAAGTATTTTAATTCAAACCATAAAACTTTTTTATTACCAAGAAATGTAATATATTGCATGCATCGTCTATTTTGTTCCTCTTTAAATTTTGGAGGACTACTTTACTTTTTCTACAGATGCTGTATTTTTACAGCTAAGCTGGACAGGTAAGTCCCACAACACATGCGATAGCCATAGCTTGAGGCTTGGATATGCATGAAAAAATGGGACTGAAAGCGATATGAAAA